TCAGAACTTCCGATTTTGTGCTTGAATTTTTTACTTCCGCACGGTGTTTTTGCGATGAAATTGTTTACCCCTACCCTAGTTCAAAAGCGATTCTAGCTCACTGCTTTACCAGGAATCTACCCATGGCGGACGTCCCAAGAAGTAGTTCAGAAAACCCTGCTGATCTAGAGGGCCTTTGTTTGTTGATTCCCGAATTGTAGATTCAGAGATTAACGGAGGACGGAGGACTCAATTCGCCACGCAAATCCATCAATTTGGTTGGGTTGGATTGAGCTGGGCTGGGTTGGGTTCACTTCGGTTCGCTTTGATTCGGTTCGGTTCGGTCCGGTGTAGGTCAGTTCAGTACAGTTCAGTGCAGCTCAGACTAGTTTAGTCCAGTTCAGTTCAGTTCAGTTCGATTCGGTTCGGTTCGGTTGGTCTCGTCCGGTCCCATCCGCTGCCATCAGATCTCGTCTGGTTCCATTCGTCTCGGTCTAGTTCGGCCCCACCTGGCCTGGTCTAGTCCCGTCTGGTCACATGTGTGGCGCACGGGCGGCGGGAAGAGTGACGCGCATGTGACGGAAGCGCCAGCAGACCTTGTCGGTCTCACACGCCGATTGGCGCTGGTTGTCGCCGGTTGTCGCTGGTTGTCGTTGGTTAGCGTTGGTTGCCGTTGGCTGACGTCCAACCGTCGCCGGGCTGGCAGCGATTTTTAGACGCCACCGTTCGACGAACTGGGCGTATTGGCGACCTTCCACATTTCTGCGTAATCAGCTGACCGCCGCGCAGTTAGCTTTTGCGTCGGTAATGCGAAAGGAGTGGATGCCAAGTGTGAGGGAAAACGGCACAAACCAAAATGTGGCGGGTGATTTTGACACCCCTTTTGGAGCAACATGGAAGTCTCTTTTAAGGTTATGATGTATATTAAAGGCATCTGCACCGTGCTTATGCCCGCACACGGAAAGTTGTTTTGATTGAACAAAAATAGTTTTCTCAGCCATGTCTTATCCAGGGCAAACAGAGACCAATGCTAAAACTAACGTGGCTATGTTGTATCTAGCACATGTGATGAGCGAATATAATCGCTATATTGCATCAGAACACTTTTTGAAAACGACTGGCGAAAGCTAGAGGGCTGCCAAATGGCTACAGCACTATATTGTAGGAAATGCAACACCGTAGAATGCATGTGCCCTTTTAAAGGGGTCATTTTCAGCGCAAATGCATGCCATTCAGCAAATTGTATTGTAAGCAAAGGGCCGGCAGCAGAGTGCGCTGGAGGCCCGGAGAGCCATTGGAGAACGGAATACCGCAAGCCCCCCCCCCCCCTCCCCCCCCCGCCCAGTGCAGACTCTCACGAGGGGTGAGGCCGCCGCCCTTCTCCTGTGCAGCCTCTCACGGGAGGGGGGCCGTGCGGCCCCCGTGCAGGGGCGCCAGCCTTCCCCCAGTGCAGCCTTTCACGAGGGGGGGGGGGAGCGGGCCGCCCCCCAGTGCAGCCTCTCACGGAAGGGTGGGCCGTCGGGCCGCCACTTCCCCCCCCCCCCTCCCCCGTGCAGCATCTCACAGGAGGGGGTGGGTGGGCCGTCGGGCCGAAGTCCCTGCCTCCCCCCCCCCCCCCCCAAGTCAAACGCCCCACATCAGCGGCGCGCCACCACGCAGAGCGGGTCCGGGACAAAGACACCGACGTGCGGCAGGAAAGCATTCACGCCGGCAGGCTCAGACGAACTCCGATCGACTTGTATGCACACAACATGTGAACCTGGTCAACTTCGGCAGGCACCTGGCTGGCTTCAGCGCCCGCGGGTGCCACAGTCACCCATGGCTCTGGGCTGCGCCGCCCGCGGATGGAGGGATGCCGCGACGCATTTGGCGAATCTCTTGGCCAGCTGTACCAGATTGTTGGTTAATGGAAGGACCGGATGTCGTTGACAGGACAGTGAGTTGGCCAACACAGGAGCAGTGAGTTACGCAACCGTATTCGAGGTACAGACAGTTTCAACAGCAATACGGTTTCTGCAGAATTCCACCATTCCTGTGCACCATGCATATGTGATATGCGGAATGCAGACACCATTTCACCGTTCAGCCATAATTTCACTTCGTTCGCCATTTATCCATCAGACAGAAAACAAGGTCGTTTAAGAGCGGTATATCCCAGCAACTGCGACGAGCAACTGACTAAGGCCAGCCGTGGCCACATACAATTACACCGGAAATATTATTCGTTGTAATGCGAACCCTACCGGACTTTTTTCATCAAAAGTCTAATAACACATAGCTTATGTCAGTGGACACCTTTGATGTAGTAGATGACAAGTAACAGTTCACACCTTTGGCTTCCCTGTCGTTTGATGCATGCCTAGCTAGTCTGTTGAGCGGGCAACACTCGTGCTCCCTTTTCTAAATAACCGGAATTAACTCCAGAATCGGCCATACGCCATTCAGATCAAGAGTGAGGGAACACTTAAAGATCGATTGGGTTGAATTCGGAAGCTTAACGCGCTTCTTTAACGCTCGGCTTAGTTAAGCGTATTCGCAAAATCGGGACAAAAAGCATACTGGCCGGAATCTTGCTAGAATCAATAACGAGATGATCAATGTAAATCTTATAGAGACTGCAGCTCTTCATTCAACCTCTGCCGTATGCAGTAAGTCGGACAAGTTAAGACTTATGACTAATCACAACAAAATTCGCGTACACACACACACACACACACACACACACACACACACACACACACACACACACACACACACACACACACACACACACACACACACACACACACACACATACACACATGCCAATGAACAGACGTCAAGCTCTACGGCAGACAATGTCTTCGCAGGAATCAGCTCCAGCGGGGGATATTGTATCAGTGACATAAGTCTCGTGCGGAAGGGGTAATATACCCAGACTTTGCCCGCGATGTATAAAGTCCAGGCTGAAATAAACGTGATGTGCAGCTAGTCACCGTCGGAATGTGATCCGCAATCCGGAATGTAAGCGTGTGAGCTGTCGCGTTCACGTTCACATTAACAATCGCCTTCACATAGTGACGTTTCTCGGCACATACAGTTGCTCCGACTGACCTCACAAATACTGGCTTGGTGAGCTGACTGCCTACGCTCACATGAACAGAAAGATACGAACGACGTTCGTACATGAGTGGCTACGCACATGAATTCACCCGCGCACTCAGCATGGCGGAAGCGAGGGACATTCGCCGTGGTGGTGCAGCAGACACAACGGCACGCCGAACCAAGTTGTGATTGGCTGTTTGAGTCGTTCGTTAGTTCGGGAAAATTTGCGTGCAAAAGCGACGTGCGGGGCAAAAGGGAACGGCTGACATCGAGACGAGAGTGGGCTTTCGCTGCCGATATACTACGTGTAAGCACATTGTCGCCACATGCTACCACGGGGTGGGCCATCACGCCATCGGTGTCTCGGGAGGGGCGGGCCATTACACCATCGGTGTCTCGGGAGGGGCGGGCCATCACGCCACCGGTGTCTCGGGAGGGGTGAGCCATCACGCCACCGGTGTCTCGGGAGGGGTGGGCCATCACGCCACCGGTGTCTCGGGAGGGGTGGGCCATCGCGCCATCGGTGTCTCGGGAGGGGTGGGCCATCACGCCACCGGTGTCTCGGGAGGGGTGAGCCATCACGCCACCGGTGTCTCGGGAGGGGTGGGCCATCACGCCACCGGTGTCTCGGGAGGGGTGGGCCATCACGCCACCGGTGTCTCGGGAGGGGTGGGCCATCACGCCACCGGTGTCTCGGGAGGGACGCACAAGAGACTGCAGAGCACAATCACTGCCACCACGCGAGCCATTCCAGTGATAGTACAGATGTTCTCGAGTGGCCACCCGCACCGCAGGCGAGGCATACGCCTGATCCACAACAAGCACAAGCGACTGCACTTCAGATAGATGTCGCTGCAGATAACGCAGTAGTGCAGTCGTGCAGAACATATGAGCCATTTGTGATAACAGTAGTGCGTCGTTCTTGATTACATCAAACGATTACATCATACACATCAACTAGTCCGCCCCTCTGGACTGTCGGGATATGCAATAACAAGGACTGCATGCAGGAAGCCACATTGACATGGACATAGAACAGGTAACCGCTTAACAATGGGCCAGCACCAGCGTGGGCGGAGAATGCAGTGGGTGAGCCGCCCTGCTGAAAGGCATTTCAGCTCTAGTTTTTTTTCTAGTGTCATTTTCACCGGTAATCCCAGTGTTTTAATTTTTTCCAAGACAAGATCTCCGTGCTTGTGTGCTTTACCCACTGTCATTTGTCACCATGCTCCACCCGTGAGCAAACACAGCGATCAACAACCATCATGCGAGAATGAAATGCGAAACATCGTATTTGGTCCCTTAATTCCAGCTTGGTCCCATCTCGTTTACAATTACGAGTAACGAATGCCTTGGCATTCTCACATGAAGTCACGTACAATATCTACACGGTTTTGTCGCTCAAAGTTCGATCTAAAAACCTAACACAAGTCTCTCGCGAAAGCGGGTGTGTCAATGGAAGTGAAATAGACTACTCCCATAGTGCCAGCTGTGGTTTGAAACTGCCTGAAACCGTCTTACAGCCGCGGGACTTTCGTGACCTTGCACAATGTCTCGTGACATAGTGCACCATAAGGCTTCGTGAAAATGCCTCTTCATGTGCCCCAGTTACGAAATCCAGATATAAGTCGTGGCCTTGACTGATTATTTGTTTGTCGTTTTCAGCAGTGTTATGTGGATGTCATTTCAAAAGCATCCCCAAATAAGTTAAGAAAGCGGGCCGAGCTGCTCAGGTTGCCATGGAAACCGTTCTGAAGATCCAGCAAACCATCTCACCACGGTCGGCAGCGCACAAGAGCGTCGGACTGGCACCTGGCGGAAGCGAATTTTCACAGCCGAAAGATATTCCTTCCGGCGGGCATCTGGTTAGATTGTGAGACCCGCAAGGCAAGACTTCAGATAAAAAGACCACAAATTTGGCTGCCATGCCGGCAAATGTTGGTATCATGCAGCGCTGGTGACCAGGGACTGATCAGACCATGTGCAGTGGTGTCATTTGACGGGATGACTCTGAGATAAGGATCAACAAAAGTCATCCCATCTATCACATTAACAGCGAATGTGACAGCACTGCATTCTGTCCCGTCGCGCCTATTCAGCCTGCGTCTGCTTCTGCTTAGGCGCAGGCTGACGTAGGCGTGCGACGGGCCAACAAGCGCTTAGGCTGTCTTCTCTGGCGGTGACTGGTTGGGCGAGAAGTCGGGAGTGGCGGCGAAGGGCGGGCCAACAAGCGCCTAGTCTGTCTTCTCTGGCGGCGACTGATTGGGCGAGAGGTCTGGAGTGGCGGCAGAGGGCGGTGTTGGTGTTCGGGCCGTATCTGCCGGCAACGCTGCTGACAGCAGACTCGTGATGCCCTCGATGTCAGCATCTTCGTCATTTTCCTGGATCTTTCTGCGTGGCAAAAGAAATGCTGGTTATCGCTGCATGTTAGGCAGGCGTTCATTCGCAGAATAGCTTTGCCAGACTCAGTGGAAATCCCACTAAGCTATCTGCGAAATGCTCGCTATATGATGGCTCGGTCACTCTCTTAATCTATATGTGTGGAAGCGGCCGTAGGGCCATGGTTTTGACAAGTGTAAAAGTGGCGTCATTCGTACTTCCAACCACTTAAAAGGGATACTCCTTGTACCGACCTAGCCAACTACTTCCCAGATCTTTCTTCCCCCACACCAGCCCGAGGCCCCACGTGTTGCCACGCGACGTCCCCGCGCCGGGTCGCGTTCGGGCGCTACTCACTTGAGGGCGTTGGTGACGATGCAGAGGTCGCCGCGGAGCTCGGACACCAGCGCCGCCACCTTCTGAGTGCTGGACAAAACGTCCACGGAATGCGTGTACGGGTTGTAGCGAACGCCGAACGGCCGATGAATTGTAGCAGCGAACGCCCTGCGGAGACCAAACGGCGCTCACAACACCGGCGCCGCCGCTGCCCGTGTGGTCCTCGTGGCGCCTCTGACCGGCTGTATTCAATTGCTAGAGCTCATGTTACCCCGGGTGGTTGGAGCCCGATGAACATCAGCTACTAACCGGATGGCGCTCACAACACCGGCGCCGCCGCTGCCCGCGTGGCTCTTGTGGCGCCTCTGACCGGCTGTATTCAATGGCTAAAGCTCATGTTACTCCGGATGGTTGGAGCCCGATGAACATCAGCTACTAACCGGATGGCGCTCACAACACCGGCGCCGCCGCTGCCCGTGTGGTCCTCGTGGCGCCTCTGACAGGGTGCATTCAATTGCTAGAGTTCATGTTACTCCGGATGGTTGGAGCCCGATGAACATCAGCTACTATAGCGACCAGCAAAATCTGTATATCTGCTTGTGCTCCGGATCAAGCCACCAGTTATTATCTGAGAAACCCCTCGGTAACATCAGCTTTTTGGGGCAATGGTCTTTCATGTTCTGGGCTGATTTATTTTAAGAAAGCGACGTGCTTCGTTTACTTATTTTGTTGTGGAACGCCAGCGATTGTATTGACCATATCAGCAATCACGAGCCATGGTGTAAACGGGATCCGAACCCGGCTCCCCACGTGGGAGTCCGACGCTCTAACCACTCGGCCATTACGTCCCTTGCTTTGGGCAGATCACCTACAGTTAGGAGTAAACCACAAAGGCGTTCGAGGCAATGGTGAGACCGCAGCCCTCGCTGCACTCGCGTGGGCTGAATAAAACAAACGCAACCACGGCACCAACGTGGCTAGACGCGCGCGGGGACCCGCGCTAACGCTGGCCCCGCGTGCTTTCCGTGCTTTCACTACCTGAGGCGCTCAACAGTAAACCCCTGGTACACTGGGCTCTCAGAGTCCCGTTTGCACCCGCTGGGGGCGCCGCCGAACCATCGCTCACAGCGGGCAGTCCCTTAGCCAGGTTATCGGGTCTTGAGCGGTCGTCGCCGCCGCCGGTGGTCACCGGGGAGATGGTTGTAGGAGGGGCTCATGGGCACGGCGGAAGGCATGGCTTAACACATGAGAGAAAGAGAGCTGTACAGAACGTGAAATTAATAGGTGCAAATTTTGCCCAGAGCCCAGAAAGCACAGCTCTGCTCAGAGTCATCATCTACAGACGATGAAATTGTTTAACGCATAATTTTGACCGAACTACCGCCAAACAATGAAACAGGAGGTTAGTTGTGGAACAAGAGGTTACCTGAAGTAGACGCAAGTGGCCACTTCCAAACATCATCGTGCCACCGAGTATCATACACGTGCTAAAAGAGAAAATGGCATGACAAAACAAAAATGTTCTTAGTTGTCTGGTTTCGTTTGTACTCAGGATTGATGGGAGCTGTAGAAACAATTCACAGCAGCTAATCGGCAGGGCCTACCTACCTCATTTTCTCCTTGGCCTCCTCAAACGTGTCCGTATAGAAGTAAACGTTCTGGAAGGCCGTGATGATGCACTCTTCTGTGCACGTCACGTCAGGATCAAATCTGACGACAAGGGTGACAAATCCATGACATGTCACGACATGTCATATCGTGTCTTGACAAGACGAGCGGGTTTGCAAAGCTGGTGTTGCTATGGTAGGTGGGGATATGTTAGAGATGTTAGATCTAAGATCTGATGACAAGGGTGAAATAACCCGTGACATACCACGATATGTCATATCGTTTCTTAACAAGACGAGCAGGTTAACAAAGCTGGTGCTACTACGCTAGGTAGGGGTATGTTGTAGATGTTTCAAACCAACATGGTCGCACTTAATTCCCTTCGCATGTTACGAAGAACAGAAAAGCCGTCAATGTTCCTAACACAGAATCAGCTGGCAAATATCATCCGGCCTCATGCGCATGACCTGGTCATGAGTGCGTGACCTCTGTAGGTGACAATTGTCTAAAGAACATGCAGTGATCGCAGGGGTCGGGTAGTGCTAAGTAGTCAGGCCTTAGCGCAGTCTCCGCGCAAAACATGGTGTCTCGATGACCAAGTGATGCAATGTTCGCCGAGACACCGGGCTTGAATGTTAACGCTTGAGTTGTTTATCTCATATCCAGAATATCGGACATAAAGGTTTGATGCCTTCGTCACTCGCTGACACCGGCCACGGAGGTGGCCGGTGTCAGCAATTGCAATGTTTGCCTGCGGGCCTTCGCAGTCGGTGTCAGCGAGTGTAGTGTTTACCTGCGGACCTTGGCGGCCGGTGTCAGCGAGTGTAGTGTTTACCTGCAGACCTTGACGGCCGGTGTCAGCGTGTGCAGTGTTGGCCTGCAGACCGTGGTAACCGGTGTCAGCGAGTGGAGTATTTGCCTGCAGACCTTGGAGATCGGTGTCAGCGAGTGTAGTGTTTACTTACAGACCTTGGCGGCCGGCATCAGCGATCGCAGTGTTTGCCTGCGGACCTTGGCGACCGGTGTCAGCGAGTGTAGTGTTTACCCGCGGACCTTGACGGCCGATGTCAGCGAGTGGAGTGCTTACCTGCAGACCGTGGTGGCCGGTGTCAGCGAGTGTAGTGTTTACCTGCAGACCGTTGCGGCCGGTGTCAGCGAGTGTAGTGTTTACCTGCAGACCGTGGTGGCCGGTGTCAGCGAGTGTAGTGTTTACCTGCAGACCGTTGCGGCCGGTGTCAACGTGTGGAGTGTTTGCCTACAGGCCGTGGCGGCCGGTATCAGCAAATATAGTTTTAACCTGCAGTCCTTGGTGACCGGTGCCAGCGAATGTAGTGTTTACCTGCAGGCCTTGACGACGGGTGTCAGCGAGTGTAGTGTTTACCTGCGGACCTTGGCGGCCGGTGTCAGCGAGTGTCTCAGCTCTGCGATTGAGGAGAGCAGACCGGCGCCGTACACTCTCAGCCGACCGTTCTCCCGACACAGGCCAAACTCCACCGTGAAGAAGTAGCACTGTGAGCGGTACGGTTCGAACAGTTGGGTAGCCTGTGACGTCATCACGCAGACAGAACTTCACCAGGAGGAGCTCCGCTGTAATTGGCACGGGACACGGCAGGAACAGTTGGGTAGCCTGTGACGTCATCAGACAGAACTTCACCGGGAGGAGCTCTGCTGTGATTGGCACGGGACATGGCGGGAACAGTCAGGGTAGACAACTGACGTCATTATACCGCCTTATCGTGAACTTTCGAGTACTTCCCTCGGCGCATGGACAAGCAGTCAATCTTTGTAGCGATTTCTTTCAAGGCTGAATTTTCCATGGGGATAGATGAAATTATAACTCCTCGTAAACAAACAACCAGACCTAGTTAACCTAGGTCTTCCATATTCTTGTTTCATACTGTAACCAGAGTCGTAAAATCGGCTGCTACAGTCCCAGCGCTTTGTTCTACACAGCGATTATGCTCCACAGGACTTATAATGGGTTTAACTGGCCATTAAATGAGTTCCAATACCGAGAGTTAGTAGATTGCAACTCTATCAACATAGAGTTGCATATCAATGAACGTATCAATGCAAACGTTATTGTTTTGTAATTGTAATTGTTAATGCCCTTGTAATTGCTTTGTTACTATAGCAGATATTTCCGGTTCGGTACGTGTAGCAACATTACCTTTAAGTGGACGCTCAAACGCTAAATCTTTGTAGCATAAATGTCTTCTAGTTTGAGGTTAACACTGTTAAACTGTTAAACTAGCGTTGTAGGCTAAGTTCCATGAATTCAAGCAAGGTATCTCGTCGAGCCCAATTCATTTTAACGATAACGCACATAAGCAGCCGTCATCTTCTTGTCATCACCTACACACATGGGTGATGATAACCGATGACGTTTCCCCCACACACATACAAACGTGGTGGCCACCTGTCACCGCCTACAGTATGGTCTGTGCCTGCCCGTACCGTGGCCAGCTTGGAGATCTCCTCGTTGGAGGCGCCCAGCGAAGCCAGTCCGAGCTCCTGCGAGAACTGCGCGAAGCTGGCGTTGGCCAGTAGCGGCATGTGACCCAGCAGCTCGTGACAGCAGTCCCTGCGCCCAGCAACACGGTCAGTCACGACTACGCTGGTGCGACGAGGCTACCGCGACGAGGCTACTGCGACGAGGCTACTGCGACGGCACTGGTCATCGCGTGGCTGCTGACATCAAGGTAAAGAGCCCTGCTTGTGCCGATGATTTGTGAGATTCACCAAACATCTGATTACACCATAATCACTCAATGAGCGATGTTAGTAGCCGCGAGAGATAAAGAGCGCAACTGACATCCGGTGCTCAGCGGTTTTGTTTCGTAATTTAGGCGCATATTGAGGCTTATGATACCGGTTTGTGTGTTAAGGAGGTGTAACAACTCGTACCCTGGTTGAACAATGTGGACGTAACTCTTCGCTCTAGGGGTGCACCAAAGACGTAACTCATAATCTGCACCAGAAAAAGCAGTGGAATAGCCTCGCACGAGATAACCCGAGTGGGATCTTGGGTGAGCCCGGAACATAGCTCACGACTCTGAGATGCGTCCGGGTATAGCTCACAGCTCTGAGATGCACCGAAGGTATAGCTCACGGTTCGGGTGTGTAGAGCGGGTCGGAGCTGTGGCGGATGTACTGGGTGCAGTGGAACACCCGGAAGGCCAGCCCGGCCAGGAAGTCCCGTGGTGACAGGTAGCCGGCTACCGGCCGCAGCTGGAAGCCCGTCCTCTCTGCAGGGGTACAGCGGCTCGGTTGGAGACGGAGCCGGGCTCAGTCTGAGGCGGAGCCTGAGCCGGGTTCGGTCGGAGACGGAGTCGGGTTCGGTCGGAGACGGAGTCGGGTTCGGTCGGAGACGGAGTCGGGTTCGGTCGGAGACGGAGCCGGGTTCGGTCGGAGACGGAGTCGGGTTCGGTCGGAGACGGAGTCGGGTTCGGTCGGAGACGGAGTCGGGTTCGGTCGGAGAGGGAGCCGGGCCGGCGCCTCATACGAACATTCGGGTGCGTCTCAATTAGCCGTGATGGGTTCAACTAATGGTAAGTCATCTACAGAAGGTACGTTATCCGTGCTGTACACACCATGTTATTCATCTTGCATGGCCTCCAAAAAAAATGGTGAATCGACTCCAGTGAGTTTTAACGCGCGAGAAGAGACATCAGTCAGACTCAAGACTCAATATTCACACTACTGTGGGATGACCCAACCATCTGGAGCTCTCAGTTATGACCAGCACTGCCATCCAGCCATGCCTATGCCAGCAGAGACCCGTCCCCACAGTCGCAGCTCCAGCTCGCTCTCCGGCGCTCCGGCCAAGCGGAGCGATCCCGCCGGCATGCTCACGGCGCAGGTAGGCGTCCACGTCAGCCAGCTGGGGGATGTGGTTGTGCCGGTAGCCGCAGTAGCGGCGCAGCTGGCGCCAGTTCTCCAGGTACTCCTGGCAGGCGTGCGTCTCGTACAGCTCGCTCAGCTCGCGGAATATCACACCCCTGCGCGAAGGGAATGGGTAATTCACGGTGGAACCGTGCGATGGACGTCAACCGGAGAGGGGCGGGGGAGTCTCGGGCATGATCTTCTGAAGATACCGAGCGCGGGCGTGACACGGGCGCCACCTGCCCGAAACAGTGTGCGCGAGTGTGACGCGAGCGCCCTGTTCTAGGTACTGCGCGCGAGTGTGACACGAGTGCCACCTATCCTAGTACTGTGCGCAAGTGCGACGCGGGCGCCACCTGCCCTAGTACTGTGCGCGAGTGCGATGCGGGCGCCACCTGCCGAATGCGGAGCGCACCGGCTGAGTAGCACTGTCGACAGAAGATTTCTTACCAAATTGTCTTACTACGGTGAGGCCGTGTGACAACCACAGTAGAAAACAGTCCGTCGCAGAATCACACTTGTGACGCTTCCCCACATGAAAGCCACTCTGTCATTATGAAGGAGATTATTTCGGGAGGGACAGTGCAGTAGGCGCCCCTCTCCTGGCGCACGCCAACCCCGGGACTTCTCTTCCACCCAGTAACCCCTCGAACTCTCTTCTTGTATTATATAACTCAGCGCGCCTGCATCCTAACGCCAGGTGGCGGCGTGACAGGGTGGGGTTCCAGAGCAGGATCTATAGGACTCAGCTGGTTGGTTCCGAGGTCGAGCTGTGTCAAACGACCAATCGTCTGTGGTCTCGCCGAACTCATAGCAGCTCAACCAAATTGTACTGAGTTAACGGTCGCATTCATATTTCTCGGCTCACTCAACATCATTGGCCTGAGAAACCTGGTCGCGTGTCTCATGACCCACGCTCCAGCTATGGCCGCGTGTCCCATGACCCACGCTCCAGCTATGGCCGCGTGTCCCATGACCCACGCTCCAGCTATGGCCGCGTGTCCCATGACCCACGCTCCAGCTACGGCCGCGTGTCCCATGACCCACGCTCCAGCTATGGCCGCGTGTCCCATGACCCACGCTCCAGCTATGGCCGCGTGTCCCATGACCCACGCTCCAGCTATGGCCACGTGTCCCATGACCCACGCCCCAGCTCCCACCGCGTGTCTCGTTATCACACTGCATCTTGACATATGATGTGACCAACGCTAGCTTGACCTGACCTGACGCCTGACGCTGGCCTGCGCCCATCGGGACCAGTCACGTGACGGCTGTTGTGACTCGCAGTAGCGCGTCTTCCGCTAAATTTAAACGGGGAGACAGTGAACTTCGGTCAGCAGTGAGTAGTAATCATACGCACTCCTGATCACGAGGCTTACTCACCATCCCGGACAACGGGTGCCGCAGCGGCCTACTGCGCCCGTTGACAATTTCTCGGCGTCTTGCAGCGAGGAATACTTGAGGCAGGGGCGGCATTGCCGGGAAACAAGGGGTTTGTCTTCTTGCAGTTTAACGTTGGGCTATGGTGTTCCGTCAAACAAATGACTTTTAGATATCCTGTCACTTCAAGCCTCCCCCCCCCCTCCGCCTCCCCTCCCCATCTCAATCGGCAACAGGCGGCGCCACTCTGACGTTGCGACCGTCGCCTTCGGCTGATTAGACGGAAACGAGAGGTCTCAATTAACCGGATCGAGATCACAAATTGTGTTACCTCATTAGGAGGGCGCGGCACAAGTCGAGGCCTCGTTTCAGTACATGCCAGTGAACAGGAAGACGCGATTGACGTTGGCGGATTTGGCGGACGCGATTGATGCCGTGTGATACCAGCGACAGCGCGGCGCCGGCAAAGTCTGCGCCGGCACTGGCACGTAATGCTGCCTTAAATTCCATCGGAAATGACTTCCAAACCATTCCCGTCGGGGCGTTCCTCTGATGTATTGTCTCTATGTATTGGGAGGACCGCACTGAGTGTCGAAGGCGACGGGTGATTTGGTCCAACCACATCGAAAGTCAGAGGCGCGATAGGCCATTGTGGTTGAACCATTGTGATTTAAGTTCCGTTCACCGACCTGGGCTCGGAGGGCAGTGTGGCGCACTGTCCTGTTACAGTCCGGCCTCGACCTGCATCGTGCTCACCATGTCCTCGTCTCCTCCTCGGTGTACTCCACGCGGGGGATGGGCTTGTCGCTGAAAGCCGGGGTCGTCGCGTCAGAGCGCTGAGCTTGGTTGTCAGCAACACTGCAAGTCAAATGACGCCACACTGCACTATTATGTACTACTCTGAATGAAAATCGAATAGGGCTGAATTTCGGTGCCCCCTGTGTGAAAGGATTGGGGGTTAGGATGATTCGTGGCAAAATAGCATGACCAGGGCCAGAATGACTGTAATCTGAGTGACTTCCCTCGTCAAATTCCGTATGGAGTTGTTTTTTTTTTTGGCACCAGCAACGTTAATACAGAACAGAGGGTACCAATAGCACATGCTTTCAGGACTGAAAACACGCGAAAGGGAACATAAACGCCGAGAAGCGTGCTCCGGTCCCATGAAGCTATAGTGGGTTTCACGAGATGCTGTGGAGATCAGAAGCAAATGCTCAGCATGCTAAATAGATTGGTGACGAAGTGAGCTCCAGACTCACTGGCGGTGGTTCATGGCGATCTCGGAGAAGTGCTGTCTCCGTTGACGATACACCTTGTCCTTAAAGCCCTGAAAACAGTGGTAAACAGGCATCGTCCACCGGTGATCCCTTTTTGCGGCGGTTACGTCGCTGTACTTAGCACGAGCTGGGATTCGAGCGGCCTAGATTGAAAATATCTACAAGGTTTATTGTAACGCTGCAAGGTTTATTAAGCGCTGTATGACTGTAAAAGTTGTTTAATCTGATATTTTTGACGCTTATTTCCAACTTCTGGATCACAATGTCATCAGGAAATGTTCTATTGTGGAGTTTGAGTTCATGAATGTCATGGAAGGTCATCAACCTAGAATGGCCTCAATCTATCTTTTATTTTGTGGAGCATGTCTCTTAGGATATTATTTGGCGCCGATAATAAATTCAACCATGAAAATGAATCCGAAGGTTTTTAGTAAGTATTCCTTCCTTAGGGTCAAATAAGGTCATTGACTTGATGTAACCACCAGTGGCATTTTGCTTGCAATAGGTATCTACATTAAAGTTGACCGCGAGAAGAAACCTGAGGGCACATTGGACACCTATGCAGAGTTTAACCTTGTTTGACCTTACATGACCTGAAGATCATGACTCAGGAAGCTCAGAATTTGGTACATGTGAGATTTCGTGCAGTCATTCGTGCCCTGTGCATTTTGCATTTGCTAAGCTCTCTTATTTTTTAGATCTCGAGGGATGGTCAAATTGCTTCTCCCCCCCCCCCCTCCTACCGAGCGCATTGGATTCGACGGAGCCACTCGGGCGCGTGTCGATATGCATTTGACGACAGCCCCCCCCCCCCCGCTGAAAGCGGTCATTTAATGTTGCAGATTTTGGTCCGTTGGCTTGGCCGCGGATGTCGAAGCCTGCTTGGCTTTCAGCACCGTCCTCCGATCCCTCCTCACCGGGTGGTCCGCGTCCAGGTCGGAGCCGTACATCAGCACGCGCTGCGACTTGTCCAGGTCGGAGATCTTGCGCGGAAACCACGGCACGTCTTCGAAGTCTGCGGCAGAGCAGGTCACCGCCCGCCGCTCTCAGGTCGGCAGGGAGCGATGGGGTTCGAAAAAGCGCATGGACGGTATCATTCGCAACACGAGATGCAAAAATGGTTTAGATATTTTGCAGTAAATACTAAACTCACGGGCAATAGAAGTCAGCAAAAAACAAAAAAACTGAGCAGCACAGGCAAAAAAGGCATTTTGATTAGAAATGACAACTAGACAAAAGTAGGAAGCAAGTATAACCAAAAGGTGTGCTTAAAACGTCGATAGCTACCAATTACCATATAATACATAGTATAAATAATATAATACCATATAACCAATGTGTGCACTATCGTCGTATCGTAACGTTGCTTAGCCAGCACCTCCAGGCGTATGCAGGTCAATAACCGACATCTCAATAATGGTGGAAAACCAACAGATGAAGGTCATTCTTTCTTTTATCAAGCACGACAAATAGTTTCAATAGCCGTCAGTCACAGCCGTTGGTTTGGTGGCGACAGGGGCGCCGTGTGGTGGTCAATGGATACAAATGCCGATTGGTAAAAATGATAGGGAATCTTGCACGTCGAGATGGGTTTGTAGGTGTGCCGCGTGTGGAAAAATCAGCTCATTGTGTCACACGTAATTTCGTCATGCAACGCTGTTCACCTGTGGAATTTATGTCGACATTTGATACGTAAACAAAAGGAGACGGCAACACCTGTGCTGCAAGTCACAGACATATCTCGGTCGGTAAAGCAAAACACCATTTCACATAAAAAAGCGCCGCCTCATTCCCGGACAGACCCAATCTCGAGGCGTCAGGTCATACATGCAGCGCTGGTGTTAACACCGTTCTGGTATCGGTGATTCGCAGCTGGATGTTCCGTAACTACGTCACAATGTACGCATCGGTCCGCGATTCCTTTCGGAAAAGCCTGAAATATATATTACGGGAAAAGCAGCGGTGAAGTTAGAAAGGAATTTTGCTCAAAATAAAATACATTGGACCACTTTAATGTTATACGTGCGAGGCGTTACTTTTGGTATGCACAACGCCGCAACTCAATTTGCTTTCACATTCCTCTGGTAACTGCAAACATTGAGCTACAGTGTGAATCTTAAATGGGAAAGCTCACACCTGATTCGCGCAAGGAACTCCCATTCGTACAAGGAATTCCCATTCGTACAAGGAACTCCCATTCGTACAAGGAATTTCCCATTCGCACAGTGCAGCATCCCCTCGATCACTACCGCCTTTCAAAAGACGCGCGAGTTATCACATGTGCCAAAATCATATATGAATAAACAAACGATCCACGAAAACCAACAAAAACTTGCGTGTCCAGTCTAGGATCGGGAATAGCAGGTAAGGTAAGCAGCAAACCGAAACAACAGGCACATGCTCCATATGCCCGCGCTATTTCCCTCTGTGCTGCAACATCAACAGCGTGTGCCAGGCTTACCGAAGCTGCTCTGGATGCTCATGCTTCTCTTCGGGAAGTCACCTCCGGAGTCGAACGCCCTGCCGCAGACACATTTACAAATGCATGATGTATGGATGATACATACATGACACATGATGTACAGAGGTGCGGATGAGCGCATCGCCGCAGCGCGCCAGACGGCGAGCGGCGTAACTGACGCGGACGCGTGGGCCGGTGTCACAAGGGCGCTTGCCCCCGTCCGGTCGCCGCCCTGATCGCGCGCGGTACGCTTCATGCACAGTGTCTGAGGGCGGCACGCATCGCTCCGGACGTTTGCCGCCGTGGTAGGTCTAACGCGGCAATGGAACGGCGTTGTATTGCTTCGCGTCGTGGCAGCATGCTAGTGAGGCTGGCAGGAGAGCAAATCACGGTGTGCTGGGAGGTGAGGTATCTGATGTTTGGCTAGGACTGCCATTTGGGCCGTGTTTTACGCGTGATGTTTCCCATGTGTGATTTAACTTTCAAGGCGCAAGCCTCTAGCGCAGTTTGCACGGGCGGAGAGTCAATGGAATTTGATGCATGCAGGTGAAGCTGCACTGTTCTTCACGTTCGTGCCTTTTAAAAATGGACCAATGTAGAGCCTGAGACATAACGTGTCCTCCACAAGACAGGGAGGGACAATTTTTTGCACCGTCTAAAGTGGCCACTTACTTGAGCTGCCTTGCCTCCAGCACGTTGGTGAGATCTGATGCCAGAGATTGCATTTCCTGCAGCATCAGAAATGGGGCGTCAAAGGTTGGTACTATCCACAGAAGTGGGGCGTCAAAGGTTGGTACTATCCACAGAAGTGGGGCGTCAAAGGTTGGTGCTATCCACAGAAGTGGGGTGTCAAAGGTTGGCGCTATCCACAGAAGTGGGGCGTCAAAGGTTGGCGCTATCCACAGAAGTGGGGCGTCAAAGGTTGGCGCTCTCCACAGACGGATCGCCGAATGCAGCCAGTAGCTCTTCCGTAGGTAACATGTGCACTGTCTTGACAGCTACGTAGCATGCAGGATGAAAGTCTGGGCACACTTGCTATAGCGTGGTGTCTGCTGTTGTACCATCTTCAACTGATGAACGTCATCAGCAAATTACGTAACATGAACCGGATATCGTGAATCGGGTTCGGTATTCAGGCATGAGTATGACCAGCGACGTCATGTGAAAATCAGCAGAAAATCCGGAAAGTGCTTGTAAAGACAAAAAGATGATATGGCGTTTCGTGGTGATGTGCTATACATCACCTCGTGATGGTAGACTTTACATCACCTTGTTGTCACACTCGACGTCCATGTAAATCTCGTACTCGGAGTTCCTGCGCTGCGACTTGCGACTTTCAATGTACACGACGTTGATTCCCCGCTCCTGAAACAAAATTGACTCAACGTTCTGCAATATCAACACAGAATTGCTACCTTGATTCATGTGCCTGGTATTGCTGGGATTCAAACCACCACGGTACTAGTACAGTGCAGTGGGAGCACAGTGCTCTAGGAAGTGAGCCAACGGGAAATGATTTTCCGGCTTTATCCCGATTGGCCAGATTGCACATATTGCACCTCTATTAGCGTCATTAGCACTTCGATAGCGCAGGCCTGCCTCCAAGTCTTTACGTATTAGACCCAGACAAATAGCCAGGATTTTGTCAACAGTGGATGCTAGTTTGTCAGATGGGCCCAACGGTGTCCTTTAGGACCTTTAACAGCGTTTTTGTAGGATTCAGGCAATTTTTCTACACGAGGCCCGTCCTTCAGGTCACCAGGGGCCTATTAACCGATCCGGAGAACCTAGACGGATCTGAGAACCTCGTGAAAAGGTTTACAATTTACACGTGCTTTTAGCTTCATGAAAGCATCGGTTTTGCTGATGTTATCTGTGTGAAATGTTGTAAAGAAAACTACGGGGAACGATGCAAGTTTCCGCTGGTAGGCCACTACGTCACCAAAAATTGGGCAGGCATCTACTGCGGTCGCGAAATTTGCAATTCGATAGACATATGGCTGGCAGAAATGCTGGAAAGTTGCCTTGTTTTCATCTTTGGTGTCACTGGCGCGTTAACTTCGATGGGACACAACGGCATTGCTATTTGAGAAGTTTCGAATAACGGGAAACCGGAAAACACGATGAAGCTGAGCGAGACCAAAACACAACGTCATACAGTGCTGGTGGCTGAAGCGCCAGAGCCGTTGACTTGGATCTGCAAGCAAGGTGTTGCGTCTGGTGATGGTAATAGGATGTAAATGATAATAATGGAACTTGGGGTTATCACAACGATCTAAGTAGCATCAACCACAAGGTGCTCGTGAGAACGAGACACCTTGTCTGCTTACCTGAACGACTGCCAGCGCCTGACTGAGACCGCCCATGCCGTTCTTTAGTGAGAACACTACCGAGTTGGTGGAAGATCTGAAGCCATCCATCGGCTTCTGGAATGAGAGTAGACCGTGTACATTAAGTCTTTGCCTGGCTGAATGGAAGGTTGCGACAAACATACAGTTGAGGTTTACTGGATGGATCATGCATAAGACCTCAAACTTGATGTCGAATTTGATGTTTCGATGATTGATTAAAAGCCACCACAATGTGCCTCAGTGTGCAATTGGTACGCGTACATCTTCGCAAATGCCAGTTGTGTACCAAGTGGCATTGAAGTATAGCTTCATGCATAATTCTTTCAACACCTGTGACATCGCCCTCAATCTCTGCTATGTAGGCCACAGGCCGCCGTCGTCTTGTTGCTACGTGTTCTTACTCCTGCTGCCGCGTCTCACTTCTCACGGCTCGCGTCTCACACCTCACGTCTCACGTCTCATGTCTCACGTCTCATGTCTCACGTCTCATGTCTCACGTCTCACCTCTCGCGTCTCACGTCTCACGTCTCACGTCTCACACCTCACGTATCACACCTCACGTCTCACGTCTCACACCTCACACCTCACGTCTCACGTCTCACGGCTCGCGTCTCACTTCTCACTTTTCACGGCTCGCGTCTCACGCCTCACGTCTCACGTCTCACACCTCACGTCTCGCGCCTCACTTCTCACGGCTCGCGTCTCACGACTCACGCCTGGCGCTGATAACCACGCCCGACACACCGTGGGATGGTGCCGAGATCAAGCCAACAGGGAGGGGTCTAGGGCGGCCATGCCCTCCCCACTTGGTCAATACGTTTAGACTCAGTATCACGCGATTTAATCTGAATTTGGAGCAAACTTGCGAGATGCAAGATGATGTGCCGACATTTCACCCTTCCACCGCGGGAGACCTGTTTGCCTGTACGCCTGGAATTTTGTCAGCTTTGTAAAATACCATGTTTATGGCGATGTTTGTAATGTTGGGCAAATATGTAGTTATTGCAGAAATATTTGCCGTGATGCAATATTTTGCAGAGATGACGAACATGGTCGCATGTGTGACCTTTTGAGCTGTGGGCATGGAATGAGCAGGCTGATCTAATCGTAATTTACGGAAGGCGAGCTAACATTGCAGATTGGGATTCTACTTATCACGCAATGGGCGTAGTTGTCGATGCAAGTCAGTCGCGGAAATGACCCATTACATTTTACTACTGCCATCATTTGGAGCGAACCCACATCGCAGTAAAATCTTCATGCCCCTTTATCGACCCCATCTATTCGCCAGTGGTAAGTTTGTGGCATCAAATCTTGACATATCTGAAAATCGAGACCAATACAACCTTAAAGCATTGGACAGGTAGCAGGCACGGCAGGTGTCTATTTAAAAAGATGTAAGCGCATGAACGTAGACATCACTGACCGACACACTCGGTTTATCTGCCGGGTGGAGAGGACTGTCTGCCTCCGAGGGGGGGGGGGGGGAGAAGAGGTCTCCACTTACCGTGCTCCTGTCGGCTGCCTCCCGGACGGTCCAGGTGTCTCCAGTGCCCTTCTTGTACAGCCAGAGGCCCAGCAGCGACTTGCCCGTTGCGGTCATTGCGGCTGGAGGTCCGGACGACAAGCTGCAATACGAGAACGACGACAAAGGTGACTGACGGGCTTCAGTTCAGTTTTGAGAACGGCGCATACGCCGCTTCAGTCAACTGTCCTTAAAGACCACTGGTTCGGCTGGCCGACTTCAGTCTGAAGATTGAGAAAGTAGCAGGCCAGGGAAAATGAACGGAATGTAAGAAAGTTGAGAGATTTGGCAGTCTAACTGCAGCCAAAGAAAGAGGATATCCCGGCGTGACGAACCTGTTTGAGAACGCCACAGCTTCACTGAATGATAACAATAACTGGTTGACTGATTCAATATGAGAAAGATAACGAGTTCGGTGAAATACAAACAGCGTAACAAACACAAAGGTTTGATTGCGGCCTCTAGGAAAGACGACAGATGCTGGTTGTTCACTTGAGTCTTCGGATGATGAAAGTCTTTTATCACTTATGGGATCATGACTGAGTTCACAAACAGCTTCGCAGACTTAGATTCAGATCAGATTCAGATTCAGATCAGATTGTAATCTTAGGAGTCTTAGATATACGTCAGTCATTTTTGATGGGCAGAAAACCAACACAGCGTGCCTATTGACGCACCAGTAATGGCAGACGCCTGTAGTTGCTCTATGCTGATGAAGCACGCGGACCATGAGCGAATACCGGCAATCCGTCACATGTTGATGTTGGCGACCAGCTGGCAACAAAAGGTGTTGGCATCGAGCCGGCGGTGCCATCGCACGCGAACGGCCTCCGGAGTTCCACCACTGCCGAGACTGCCGCCCGCCGCCGGAGTTCCGCCACCGCTCGGGCCGGGGGGCTGCCAGCCATCGTCTGAGTTCCGCCACCGCTCGGGCCGGGAGACTGCCGCCCGCCGCCGGAGCTCCGCCACCGCTCGGACCGGGGGGCTGCCAGTCATCGTCTGAGTTCCTCCACCGCCCGGGCCGGGAGACTGTCGGTCACCACCGGAGTTCTGCCACCGCTCGGGCCGGGAAACTGCCGTCCGCCGCCGGAGTTCCGCCACCGCTCGGGCCGGGGGATGCCGGTCGCCGCCTTTCAGGTCGCTGAGTCAGCGCTTCCGATGCTGGGCGAGCAGCGGGGTCAGGTTCTCACCCAGCAGCGAGGGTCGGTGCTGTATCTTCACGGCAGAATCCGGTGGCCATTTAAGACCATCAGCCTCCCCAGATCTGCGTCTGACAGGGTGCAAGCCTAGCGCGGAACGCATTTTCCCCGTTGAAAACGTCCGCCACACTGAGACACTGGATGGAATGTCCGTGTTTTGCTTCACGAGGACTTGTCCCTTGCTACCTTTCTCGCAGCGGCGACGTCGGTAATTTCAAATTGGTCAGGTGTCAAATGCTTGGCTTTCTCGTCGCATGAACTCCTGCGAAATGGCTTCCAGATATTGGTGGCCCGAAACGTGTCAAAATGAAGTCTATAGTTCCGTCGCGCCTCCTTATTTGCTATCCACGAACCATAGAACCAAAAGAAAAATAACTCACAAAGCGGAGGAGTCATAGAACACAAAGGCAACGGTATGCGGTCGGTCTGTTACACGTTTCAAAACTGTGCGTAAATTATTACGCTACTCAAAAGTTGCACAGTTACGGAACGGAGTTGCGGAGTGACGAATCATGTCAGCGTTTGCAGTTATCCAGTCCTAATCGGTTAAGTGCTCACCCGATAGCTACCCGTGTTGTTTTCTGGGACTCGAGTTCTACATATTGAAAAGTAACAGGGAAGTTCACGAAAAAACTCTCTGCGTCGATAAACGGAAAAAGTGTGGTAACTTTAGCTAAGAATAACTTAAAAAATCGCAAGCATTGGCATTTTGCGGGATTCCTTAAAAAATCCGCCCGGACCAAGTTCGTGGCCATTTCAGGAATTTCCCCAACACCCGCACCTAACCCAGCACGCTAGCCTTTCCATAGAAAAACCCTTGGGCTTTCCCAGCCCGCGAAGTTCTCCACTGCCAGGTGAGCTCTGCAATGACCGCACCTAACCCAGCACGCCAGCCCTTCCGTAGCAAAAGCCGTTGGGCTTTCCCAGCGCGCGAAATTCTCCACTGCCAGGTGAGTTCTGCAATGACCGCACCTAACCCAGCACGCTAGCCCTTCCGTAGCGAAACCCTTGGGCTTTCCCAGCCCGCGAAGTTATCCACTGCCAGGTGAGCTCCGCAATGACCGCACCTAACCCAGCACGCTAGCCCTTCCGTAGCGAAACCCTTGGGCTTTCCCAGCCCGCGAAGTTCTCCACTGTCAGGTGAGCTCCGCAATGACCGCACGCTGGCGACACTACATGTCCTGCTTGAACAGAAAACGGCTCCCACTACGACGTCCGGGACAGCCCAGCGCATCGAGCACGCCCTCGGCTCAGCTGAAAGCAGTTTGCGTCGAGCACATCGAACGATTCTTGACAGCGAGCGCCGATCGGCAGGGCCCTTAACAACGCGGCGGCCGTATTGCGAGTACTTACCTCGGCGAGGAAGGCCGCCGACGACACGTGCCCTGGGCGCGACTGCCAACTTGGAGATAAGAAGCCACTCGCGCGCAGAGCGATGTGAATTTAACGCCCCCCTCACTCTAAGCCAGGAAAGGGTCTGGGAGAAAAGTGAGGGAACGGGCACCCAGGCAACCCTATCGGCCACAACTCGTGACGTCGCAATGACGTCAGCAACGGATGCAGCTTCCCTCCCGGCCATTGGTTGGATCAGGAGGCGACGGGCTGATTGGCTTCGTCGCCCGGAAGCCGAGGATCGAGCCGGTCGAAGAGTTAGTTTAGCGTGGAGTGTTGATAACATCTCTTCCTTTTTAATCCCGATCGCTGGGAATCACAGCATCGGATAAACTGACCTTTATCTGTGAGAGGAATTTGCATGGCCGTATTTACGTATGCATATTTTGACACAGGTTATCTTGATCTACCATGCGTGGCAAGCGCTCGTCCATCAATCGCGGTAGCAGTTTGGGGACTATAATCAATCTGGGAACTTGCGAAAATCAGTGAATTAACCTGCGCTCGGCCTGGAGGGCAGTGTGGAAGTGGACTTCCTCACTAGAGGTTTTCAAGCACAGGTAAAAACGAACGCTCGCAACGACACGTAGCTTTTATCGCCTGTTCGTCTATTATTTAACCATCCTTTCTTAAAAATGTGAAATTTTCATCTACCAAGATCAGTGACCTAGATCAGGTCAGAGGCCAACTTCTAAAAAACTTTGAACACCACTTTGGTGCGACTCATTTTCCATTGCTCAAACTTGCTATAGCAGTAGAACATGACAGTATCTACAGTTCGCATCTTTGAAAATTTTTTGAAAAATGCGAGGTCGTTGACCTGAAGTCAGGTCATTTTTTGTGGTGCAAGTTTGTACGCATTTTTGGGTAGTTTTGGTGTTGCATATGTGGCAAAGACTTCTATCTTACATGCGCAACCATTATATGACCACAGAGCACATAACTTTGGGCCGGGTCATGCTGTATCTTTATAGGCACCCATAGGCCTATCTCATAAGGCACCCATAACTGTATCTCTATAGGCACCCATAGGCATATTTCATAAGGCACCCATAGCTGTATGCTATGGGTGCCTTATGAGATAGAGCTTAGAACTTTTTAGAGCTTTAGAGCTTTAGGCTTTTTCATTCGGATGACTTATGACTTGAGACTGTTTTTAACATTTTGTTGCCTCCGGTGAGCTCACATTTGACCTAAGGTCACTTTTTTGGTGAATTCTTCATGATTTTACGAGACCTGTGACACGATATCTTTGTTTTCTCATACGGCATCTGGAAGTTGAAAATCACGGGGGGAAAGTCAACTTTCCCCGACCGGGCGCGGTTGTGTCAGCCCTCGGCCGGCCGCGAATTAAGGTACTAGTCAAATCAGCCTATATGTATATATAGGTATATATATGCATACATATATATATATATACACATATTACATATATATATATATATATATATATATATATATATATATATATATGTGTGTGTGTGTGTGTGTGTGTGTGTGAGTGAGTGTTTCAGCCGTGGCACGCCCTCAAAACCTCCTGATCAGGCGGCGACTTTACTCAGCCTAAATACGTCGTGCAGAGTGAACATTTCTGCAAAACTGCACCACGCACTGCTCTCGGGCCGTAGTATATCGGGCAAGTTTGTTGGAGAGAAATTGCATTAGGAAACGGTGCCTCAAATTACGGGTGCCTCTTATGGAGCACGCCTCAAAAGGAGTAGGAGAAAGTCACGGCGGTCAGTATATGGTCACGAGTTGTGCGTGGAATTGACTTTGCAATTTCTAAGTCAGGAACATCTTAGCATATCCGAAGGATGCATATTTTCAGCGAACTCGTGTCGACAATTTCCACGTGATGTGTGTTAGTGAAACGATTGCTGAATGAAACGTTTTTTCTTTGATTTTTGGTTTGACGTATGTGCTCGTTAAAGCGGGAAGTTTGTCTCGCCATTGTAGATGCTTAAGCGGACATTGCATGGCTGGGAGATGATGAGGTACGCGACATTTTTCGCAGGACACTTTCTCACGAACACCGCAATGTACCTGGACAGTGTGGGTGCGCTGCTGATGTTTTACCGCTGCTCCAGGAAACGCGTGGTGATATCTCTGACAATATCGCTAATATAACCCTTCCAAGCAATGCTTTAGAGGCTGAAGATATCTTCATTGACAGATTATGGTTGATGAAAGCATGACAAATTGTTGGTATCTTTATGGAACGTATTTCTAATCATCTGATGCTGAAAGGGAGTGTTCAACATTTGTATGAAATTTTAAACCGAAATAGCCAACTAGAAGATCATTCCAGATGGCTATTTCAGTTTACCGCCCTACCCCTCTTAAGACCTAAACACCTCTAGCTTCAAAGCTTCACGCCTGCAAGGATGTGTAGACTATTTCGGGGAGACTACTCCAAGGTCACCCAGTTATCCACGACATCACAATGACGCCATTCAAATCCGGCCATTCCATAAGTCATGTAGCAATTAAGGTCATACAATGTCGTTGTCAACGTTTCATACCTGGCGTTCTTTAAAAAAATTACAGACAAAACGGCCGCCAATTCGCTCTCAATCAATTTTGTGCAAGGTACGATGACGTGATGGAACAAAGACGTATTTAGGGGCATATTTACTAAACGGAGAAATTATGTCGTCTAGAGCAGTCTCTTCCACATAAAAGTATACAGATGGTTATAAGAGAGCTTATTTTATTATATTTGTTGCTCGCTTGGATATGTTCAAATGTGAAACATTCCCTTTACTGGAAGCTAGATGTGCAGATCTGCACTGTAGAACTATATCAGACGTTGTTGGGGATTAAGGGTTAAGATAAAGAAAAAGCGATTTGGCTTGATGAAGGAAGTCGGCTCTAAGGTTGTGCGATTGTTCCTGCCTTCTACCCTCCGGTATTTGTTGAAGTATGGGACAGTCTTTCCGACCCCTGTATGATTCATGGTAAAGACTGACTTGATATTACGCGTGTTTGTGTGCGTGTCGGGAAACGTTGGGCCACGCTTGACACGGAATTGCTTCAACACGCGCCCAAGGACGTTATTGTTCTACGGGCTGCTTATACTGGTTTGGACACCCTTAGGTTTGATCGTATTTTCCCCTTTTTCAGTTCCCCGTTTTCTGTTTCCGGTCTTATTTTCCATGTGCCCGCAGATACCATCGCCCAAAATCTATCCTTGAGACATTGGTGCATTGACCCAATTTCAACCCAGAAAGTTCCGTGCAGGATAGCGCAGTGTAAGCTTGTGAGATGCAAGCTTTGCTTGTGACGAACACCATGTGCTATCATCGTGTATATGGCCACCGCAATTCTGGAAGCAGGTGATCAGCAGAGGTCAGACTATATATGCCTTTACCAAGTATGAGTGATGCGCCTTCACTAAAGATAACACACACGTGAAACCTTTCCCAGGGTGTGGTAGCAGACAGGTCTGTATTGACACCTTTATTTCGTACACTCAGAACTTGTCCCGAAACATCACGGGTCACCTGTTCCTGTTCGGCACCTCATCCAGAGAGCCCATGTCACGCAGTGTCTGACGATTGTTTTTCTAGATGGTGAAAAGACGTGGCATTTTCTTGAGACATTTCTTCCTCCCCAAAAAGTCATCTTATTCTTGATGAAGTCGTTCGGAGACCGGCCAGTCGTGAGTTCGCCACTCTGCCGCTGACGCTGCATCCGCCTTACTTGCGTCGGGAGGCGTCATCAGCCAATGCTTCTATATCCGACTCGATTGCTGCTTTGTCTTCATCCAGGGTGGCGGTATACGTGTTGAGTTCCTCCGTGGAGACGCAGTCGTCGCCGTTGGTGTTCATGGCATTAAACACATCTGCCAGAGACTGGTGCGTGTGTCCTAGTGCTCGCTCGGTAGTGGGATTAGCCGTGGCGGCCACGACCAAGCACAGGACCAGGAGACCAAGACGGAACATGGCGACGAAGGGTTGCTTGCGTTAGCTGCTGGCAAGGTTCTGATGTTACGGCACTGAACCACCGTCTTAAATAGTCCAGAATGAGCCAACTGGAGGCAATTTGCGCCATCCGTTGCAGCAACAAGTGTACTAACGGCTACACAATTGACACTCTGTGTGTCACGTTTGTACATCGTGTTATCTCAAAGCACGGTGCCATCTGTGAAAATGTACTCATGTTATGTGTTAGTTGTTTTTTATTCGGACATGTTCTTAGAATTAACTTGGCAGCTAGTTGTCTGTTGCTTTAGTTGCATTCAGGTAGGAAAACACGCTATGTCATGATGACACATAGAACACCGCTCACGGTAGGCAGGGTGCTCTGCTTCATGCATAAGACAGTACTGATAACTTTATTGCTTGTCAAATAATTAGGAGAAAGGAGAGCAAAATGCATAACTATTTTGACTCCATGCCGTTGCTGAGACGATGATGAGCAGCATACTCAAAATTGCCTGCTAATCATGTTCGATTTTTAAACCCTTGCTTGGAGCCGAGCCACAGTGTTAAAAGGTCACCAACATTCAGGGTTACACAAGGTGCGTTTGCCATCCACTACTGTGAGCAGTCAGTACCTCATTAACAATCAACAATACTTGTACATGGAGACGAATTTATGTAAGCTGGCATCACGCGTTATGCGTGATGCGTTATACGCGTTAGCAAGAAGTGTACTAACAGCTACACAGTTCACGCTCGCAATGTCACGCTTGTACAACGTAATATCTCAATGCACGGTGCCATCTGTGAAAATGCGCTGATGCTATTTTATGCTTTGTTTCGTATTTGGAGACATGGTGGTCTAAGAATTAAATTGTCAACTAGTTGTATCTTTAGCTGCAGCCAGGTAGCCAAACACACCAAGTCGTGATGATGCGTAGAACCTCGCTTACGGCAAGTAGTATGCTCTGGTTCATGCATAATATAGTACTGATAGCTTTATTCCTTGTCAACTAACATTAAACGCATAAACGCATTAAGAGAAAGAATAGAAATGCATGATTATTTTGGTTACATGCCGACCGAAACGATGATGAGGACTAGATTCCAAATTGTCTGGCAATCAT